ACTCTTTTACCAACGAATAGTGGGATTGACCGTCACATTATAACGCCCCCGCGGCTGAAAGGGCGAGCATGTCTTTTATACACCAGTATGCACTACAGAAATTAAAAACAGAAAATGTTTGACTAGATACCCTATTGGGATAAATAGGCCCTGAAAGTTCATTGAAAGTTGAGATCCAGAAACGAGTGGTGTTATTTGAAACGACACGGTTATTGGGTAACTTAAAGACTTCTGTAAATATTCTTTTCTTCTCGTGTGTGTTTAAATAATTTAAATAATTGATCTGAAAAAGTTGTTTTTCTGAAAATTTCGCATTTAAACCTAGTCTTTGCCTTTACTTCTTGCTAATCAGATGTTTTAAATGTGGTTTATTGTCGAGAATTCCTAGAGAATTAATATTGATAGGGACATACTATCATATATATATTTGAACCTTAATTAGTGACTGATTACTTTATTTTAAAGGAGAAGATAATTTATAAATATGTCTTTAAGAATATTGTATAACAAATTAGTTAATTTTATTGAAAGCAGCTTTGTTCTAATATTCAAACTCGTCGTATAACTGTAACAGTATTCTGTACTATCAAATACTTCTGATCAATTGTTTAAATTCAAATTTTTTCCATTAAACTGTGGGGTAACGCAAAAAAAAAAACAATTTTCAGACCAAGATTATTTTTGTTATATATATAAATGATTTAATTCAAGTACACTTTAAACCTGAAATAAACTCTATGCTGATGATACCTTATTGTTTATACTGCTTATGATCTTCAAGCTTTGTAGTTAAATATTAAACAGCATGATGAATACAAGTACGTGAAGAATGATGACACCACACTGTTAACTTAGATTAAAATCCTAGTGCAGTATCCAACGATCCTTAGATTATCTTCGTCAACGATCATTCTCGTTATTCATGTTCAAAGAAGATAAACTCTCAAACTCATACTAACTTGCACAAGTCTCTGTACTACCCCTGAAAATAGTATTATAAAACAAGAAGAGGGCGTGACTCAGAACAGGACCAAACAATGTGAAAGAAGCTTTTAGGAATCGCTTATGTCCAATCTGGTACATTACGGTTTAAGAACTTAACAGTATACTTTGGTTAAAATCATATATTTCTCATATTCTAAAATACACTCAACCAATATTTTAATAATAGTTCTCAAATCCTATGGTTAAAACTAAATAATAACTAGCAACATTATATTATACTTTACATATTCTCATGAGCTACATAGAATTGATGAACTTTATTATAATAGATGTCAAAAAAAGTTCCAAAATGTCGTGTGTTTTTTTTTCTTAGAAATATTTAAAAAACCTAAGTATTTTACTGTGAAATTGTTGGCATCTTGAATCAAACAACATTGAACATTAAGCTCAATTTGTCGAACTTTTATTAGTTTTGAACTGTTCTTGATTTTTGACACCAGATATAAACGAAACATGCACATTAGTTGGTAAGAATTTGCTTTAGCCTATTTCGTAATTTTAGAATTAAAATTCTAATTAATTGAGTTATTATTTTCACACTATTTGAAACAAAACTAAATGTTTGTTAACTTGCCATGGAGACACGAAAATCATACCTTTGTAACATAACTTTATTCGCTTATGTTAACATTTATGATACGATTTGCTGAACTTTAGGAATAGCTCACAAAATCGGTGTATGGTATTTCCTGTTCTAACTTCTGAAACATTTTAAAGGTGTATACTTGTATATAGTGCAAGAAATCCATTCAATTGCGGGATGATATCCCTCAGGTTCACTCAATTTGTAAAGTACAAAGAATGAAATGGAGATACGTTTAATATCAACAACAAAGAAATATATGAGAATCTTTTAGATTTTGGTTGATGTGCTGTTTGGTAATTAAAGAAACAAGGTACAAATGAAAGACTCATTAAATATAAATAGTTATGAAATATTACAGAGAGACATTCATAGCGATTAGTGAATATTGCTGTCAGATCTATTTTCGATAAATATGAATAGTGAAAAGGAGACATTTTTTTATAAATCACACTAAATACATATTTAATATTACAATTCTTTTATTATAATGATACTAAAAGTACATGTGATTTATTCTTCTAAAAAGGTAATTAAAACATAACTAGTTTTATAAATCCATATACCTGTAGAGAATCGGTATGCCTAACCAATTACAATTACTGATTATTCAATTGTACTAACGCTCTAAGTATAGCTACATTTTCATATTTTGCTTCATATTATCTCACTTGCCTAGTTCTCTTCCCATTACACTAAATCATACTAATTCTCTGTAGTAAGCATTTTAAAACTCGTTGACGCGTCCCAAGAAGAGAATCATGCCAGATATGTTGTCTCTAATGATAAAAAGGAATGGATGATCAGCATAAAAAGTTGGACCTAAGGAAGTTCCAAAAACAAGAACTCCTGTCGCAGCAGCAGCCTCGCTTCCTTCTTCGTTCACCTCAATAACTGCTTTATGTTTAATTTTAGAAACAGACAGATCATTCTTACTGCTGATACCCGACAAATCTGACTGTCCTGATTTAAACAATTTGGTCAATCCAAGTGACTGCAAGAAAGGAGACAATTCTTTTTCGTATGTTAAATCAAATTTGGGTAAATCAACACTAACTCTGGTTTCTCTCATTTGTCCAATTATCTTTGTTATTTTATCAGGATTCAGTTGACTTTCCAGAACAGCAAGACCGTTTCTCTGGTAAGGAAGAATGGCAAACATGCTAATGTCTTTTCCTTTGTAAGGCAGTTCAATCATTCTTGCTTGGAGATCCGCTACTTCTGTAAAATTGAACTTGTGTGTTAAGTGCATAAACAAAATATCCTTCCCATCCGTGCCTTTATTATAGAAAGTTCCACTTAATGTATTGCTTGAATTAAACTTGTAAAGCCAGGTACCCTTGAAGTAAACTGCGTTCAGTAAAACAAGTATCGTATCAGAGCTCAAAGGTTCTTCGAAAAACTTAGCGATTTTATGCTGCGTTTTTTGATCCACCCATTCGTTAATTTCCTGGGTAGCTTTCTCTCTTTCGTTTACAAAATCGGCTTCTCTAACTTCTGCTTTGTATTTCTCCTGTAACTGTGTTTTGTAAGAGTCCAGTACAGAGTAATCAATATGATTAACCATTGAATTAGCTGCAATCAGTTTGTACTGATCTTGAGACCCTTCTATTTGGTTAAGAGTGCTCTGAAAAGCTTGGTGAACTTCTTCATTGAACAGCTGTTCCTCCTGATACCCAAGAGTAGCTTCTAGTTCTCGTGCTGTCTCTTCTCTGGCTCCGAGATACACCATACCCATTGCCGTTGAGATGCTGAAAGGTGAGATAAAAAGGTTTTCATCCTTCGGTAGTTGTTGAAACAAATCCATTGCAAAGTTGTTACTGGCTCTTGCAAGTTTTTGAATTCCATTCTGGTCCTGAACTGGTACTGCGATCACAGTAGCGCAGATCATCAGAAAGACACCTGCATATAGCATACTCATACCTACAATTTGAAGAAAAATAAATATTGAGAAGAAATTAAAAACAAACTTTTCATATATATATATATATATTATAATATAGTAAAAATAGCATCAGTATTATGTAATCTCAATTCTATTTGTAGTGCTAAAACCCAAATTTAACAAGTTGTCATTCTAAAATACATTTAATACATTCTCTCTAGAATGTGTACTAAAATTTCATACATTTAAGTTTCATATCTTGAATGTTATATATAAACGATGTTTATATGTTATATTCTAACTACTCTGTTTCAAAATACCGCTAAAACAATGAAGTTTTTTCTAAGCGTTGACTTCAAACCAGATATGAATGATTAAACCTTAAAATATATTATTATCTGTGCTACTGTGGATGTTAGAAATGACTTCATAATTATTATTATGTACAAGAAAAAGCACTCAACCATTTCAGCAAACGCTTTACACTTTTTATCACCACATCATCGATAAAGACAAATATATCAACATAATACCAACATGACGAATATAGTGTGGTTGAAATACTATTATTATCCACTTTTCTAATTCTTGATAATCTATAAAAGATTAGATTAAGAATATAGTGTTCAAATGATAATAATAATAGGCCTAACATAACGTTATTAGTAAAAGGTCAGAATTTCTTGTTTTATGCGCTATTCTGTTCCAGCATCATCGCTCATTAACAATATTTTTGGGATTTGTATGATTTGTTATTTTCATAAGTCAAGCGGAAAATATATGATTTATATATAGTTTATATGTCGAAAAGTTTAGTTTGTTTGTTTGTTGTTGAGCACAAAGCTACACAATGGGCTGTCTGTGCTTGTACAGTTATAAACTTACACACTTACCGCTGTGCCACTTGGGGGAGCACCGTAGAAAGAGGAAATAATGTTAAACTAATTAATATTAACAAATTAATTTAAAAAGAAACTTGTATTTTTATAGTTTGATAAAACTGTTTCTGACACACGTAAAATAGTTTTGAATGCATAGTTCTGCCAATATTCTAATACATCTGTAAATCGATACGGACATTTTAACATATATTTCTCGATGTATTTCTTTCCACAAACACAATGAACGAAGAGTCTGTTTGAAGTTAAGGACAAAGCTACACAATAGGCTAGCTGTGCTTTGCCCATCACGGGGATCGAAACCCTGTATCTATTGTTGTAAGTCCGCAGACATACCGCTGTACCACTGGGGGGCGACGAAGAGTTTTAGAAGTTATAAGGAAAAAACTTTGAACGCATTTCTTACACACTGTTTAAAATATAAATATTTTTCATATATATATATATATATATATTATTGTGATGAGCAAGGTAGATGAAAGAAGTGATATAATTAAAATAACAAAACAGTTTACCTTTGCACTTCATAAAACGGCTGGTAAATATTTGAGTTCTGTGCTTCTATTGATTTTAGATAGCTGAGACGCGGCCCTTTATATCAACCGTTATGATACCCCAGACCCAACAGGTTTGACCAGTGATGTACCAACTTCACGAGCTAGCAGGTTTTTCCTTGAAACTGAGTATCAGATAACAATGAAAACATTACAAAACTTTCCCGTATCAACAGAAAATTAAGTTCTAGTTGCTTTTGCTTCTGTGTTTATTTCGCATTATAATGTTAATAATAAACTACGAAACCTTGTTACTATGCCAACTTTAGCAACTTATAAAATTTTTGTTCGTGTTTTAACTTGTTTCTTCTAATTACTAATACCCAGTGTGCTTCAGGGAATGAATTGTTGATTTTTTTAATGTCTCAATTTTCAAATATTTTTTTGACAAAATATATTATTTTTAAACTTATATTTAAACTCAATTTCTACATATTTTCGTACATTTTAAGTGTTATAACGTTAGTACTAGCCATGGGTAACGCATAAACTAGAAAAACAAATTGTTATATTTTACAGACATTACATTCAAATTAAACATACAAATACATTTCCTATTATAAAATATACAAATCTGAAATAACTCATAATGATTCCCGTTTCTTTTTATTATTCATCTGATAGTTCCCCAGTTCGTCTCCGAGAAAACTGGTTTTGTTCAATGATTGTAAACACCTCACTTCCAGCAAGTTTGGTTGAGAAACATGTTTTGAAACTTTCCTTGGATTTATTTAAAGAAATAACCATTCGCTCTAAAAAAAGTATAATAATATTCTATTACATGTCATGGTTTACCGACCAGATAAATTAAATGATGCGTTTCAAAGGTGAGAATTTGTATCTTATACGAGATTGTACATTACTATATATTTTTATTTATTCATATACATGCATATACTATCTCCTTTCTCAAATATTATGCTTTTATAAGAACAAAAAGAATAGCAAAACAAGCTACTTCATAAGTTTCACGTCGCAAGTTTTTCTTGATTAACTTCTAGTGATATCCAAATTCAAAAACAAGGTCCGGCATGGCCAGGTGGTTAGGGCGCTCGACTCGCAATCTGAGGGTCGCGGGTTCAAATCACCGTCTCACCAAACATGCTCGCCATTTCACCCGTGGGGGCGTTATAATGTGGTGGTCAATTCTACTATTCGTTGGTAAAAAGAGTAGCCCAAGAGTTGGCGGTGGGTGGTGATAACTAGTTGCCTTCCCTTTAGTCTTACACTGCTAAATTAGAGACGGCTAGTGCAGATAACCCTCGTGTAGTTTTGCGCGATATTAAAACAAACAAATTCAAAAACAATTAGTCTTAACTATTTACAAGTGGTAGAAAATTTGATTCTGTCCTGTGTTTTTTTTTCTGAAGAAAATAAAAAAAACATTTTTTAAAGCTGACTTGTTCGTCCTAAAGATAGTTTTACTATAAAAATTATCCATTATGTGTGTGTCTGTGTTAGCATCCATCACCCAGAATTGGCTGGCTCGATTACCGTAATTTTTGTATGGTAACTGGAAACTGTCGGACGGTGTACATTGGCTATTTCTTTTACTCGAGAAGAGAGGGCGAGTCTCTGAATTAGGACACATTTCAATTTTGTTATATATACACTTTTGGCATGCACTATCCAAGAGTTGGCTGGTTCGATTACCGTAATTTTAGGTACGGTAACCAGAAAATGGCCGTAGTTTTACACATTCTGTTTTGTTTTATTATTTTTTGCCGGAGAAGATGTATAAACAAAGCACCTGAATTAGAGCACATTTTCACTTTTTTATACACTTTTGATACTGAATTTAAAGACAAAAGTACTTAATCAGTTAAATGATATTTGCTACTACTAAAGCCCTTCACTTGTCGAGTGTCAAACACAGAACTTTATTGGATGTGGATGAAAACGGAAGAAAGTCATTGTTAGTACGGCTTCATTGGTTGAAATATTGTCTTTGAAGCCTACTTTCACCATTAAACATCTATTTCTCTTCTTCATGTACGAGATTCAGAACGGAATAGCGCTATCTTTAGGACGAACAAGTCAGCTTTAAAAAATGTTTTGTTTTTTTTAATTTTCTTCAGAAAAAAAAAACACACGGATGGTGTGTAATTATATCATCTGTAATAAAGTATGGCCCATAAATTATCCAGCCTGTACAACAGGTATGAGTAACATGTTAGCTATCAGCTAAAGGCAAGTCTTTTATTGTTCATTTTCACAGAAAAGACTTGAAATTTTCTGGAAGTGTGTGTGTGTGTGTTGGGGGGGGGGTCTTTGGGCCCAAACTGTAACTCGTTTCATGTGTAACTTTAGCGCCCAGAGACGAAAAAGACTGCGAAATATGTGATGGTCCCTTTATTATCACTGCAAATAAACATTTCTAGTAAATGTCTTTTGATAAGAATGAAAATGTTATTTCCGCATATATGCGTAATGTTACAAAAGCAGTTATATAATGAGAGACCATTATCAAAGAAAGAAAAAATAAATGTTAATAGGCAAGCGGAACTCCAGCAGGAATGGGGGAAGGGTTCGTCGCCCCCCCCCCCCAGCTTGCGTATTTATACTAATAAAACTAGAAATGTTCTCGTCCAGTGTAGCGTTAGTCCATTGTAATATTCTGTGGTGGAGTGAATATTTCTTTGAATAAATCTTTAAGTTTTGTGTTAACAATTTATTTAATCAGTGGGTAATTTACCTTTTTTTTTTAACAGAACGTAAATCGACTCTAGTATTTTTTATTTCTATTCAAGTCTATTTGTCGCAGTTCCTGATGTCATATTACTGACCAGAGAGAGAGGGGCCAACGAGTCACACCATACCACCCACGATGGAAGATTAATTGTTACTCTTATAAAACAGCCACAGCTGAAAGTGGTAGGAATATTTTGTGGATTCGAACCC